CAGCAAGTCGGTAAATTATTATCTCACTCGGCAACCTGGATTGGATAACCACTGAAGAAACCAAAATTGACTTCCTGAATAATTGACTCAAACCGAATATCACGACTAGCATGCATCAAAGAAACCACACATGCAGCAATGCAAATTCTTTCTAATTAAAAGTCAGCGATTATAGAATTCGATTCGTAGTTCGATTAATTGAACACATGACGGTGTAAGGTTTAAAAATTGACGGGTATTGCATGTGTATATACGTTAGGTGTCTGAAGATCAAATTTCGCGCGCCGTAGAGTTAAAATTTGGCTTCAACTTTCGAATTTTCCGGCTGGAGGTAACGTTCCAGTTATATTCCGATTTCAATGATTCGTAAATGCGTGATTAATAGTGCCCCAAGACGTGAAACAGATTTTAAGAAATGCCGAGACGTGCCGACCTAGGTCAGATTTAGGTCGGCCCTTTTTTGACGATCTCAATTTTGACGGTTTTCGAGGGCTTCAAAATGGATGCTTACGATACATTGATTGACAATTTGAATATGGACCTTTCCAGTATTCATAAATGGCTTGCTAAAAACAAACTAAAATATCATAGGAAAAAAACAAAAGTCATGTTTATTGGATCTACGCATAATCTAAATCATAAAATAGGAAATAGAGCCGTTGAGATTAACAAAATCCCAGTCCCACAAACCAATACATTTAAATGTCTAGGTGTAAATCTAGATGAAAAATTAAGTTGGGAGAAACATATTGATTCTGTATGCTATAAGATTAGCGCTGGAATAGGAGCAATTAAAAGAATAAAACCTTATGTTCCACACAAAACCTTACATGATGTCTACAAAACATTAATTCAGCCTCATTTTGATTACTGTTCTCCCCTGTGGGATAATTGTGGTTTGGGACTTCAAGACAAATTGCAAAAATTCCAAAATCGAGCAGCAAGGGTGATTACCGGAGCTGACTACGATGTAAGATCGTCTGAAGTCCTAAACAAATTAGGCTGGGAAACCCTGGCTAGGAGACGAGAACAAAACAAGCTAGTATTGATGTATAAAGTCTTGGGGATCCACACTGCGCCAAACCTTAAAGATCTTTTTTCTCGGAGAAATGCATCGCAGAATATTTATGATTTACGCAATAGCGAAACTGATCTCCCGTTAAAAAAACCGAAAACGGAATTTCTAAAGAAAACATTTGGATACAGTGGAGCAATTCTATGGAATAGTCTGCCGCAAGATGTCAAGGCGGCTGAGTCAATTACGTCATTTAAAACAATGGCGAAATTGCATTTAAGCAGATGATAAGCTAATTTCTCCAGGACCAAATGATGGGAGGACAATATAGATTGTGGGCGGGAGGGGGGTTAGTTTTGCGTGAGGGTGGGTGGGTACTTGTTTAGGGGGTGGAGGTTTGGGAGGAAGATGATAATATTTTAGGGTGGGATTCTTACATATTTTGTTCTATATATAATTAACATTTAGCTCTTTGTGTGTATACGCCCTTCGTGGAAACCAGTTGTAAATAATTGTCGAGGTTAGCGTATTGAAATAAAGTTTTACATTACATTACATTACATGCCGACAAAGGAAAAAGGTCGCTTCGCGCGAAAAAATTCGCTAGTGGAAAACCGGCTTAATAGAGGGTAATAAAGCGCATTTAGGGGAGGACCATTTAATTTTTGAGGGAGGGAGGGAGGGGGGGTTGGAAGATTTCGAAAAATATTTTCTGCAATCCAAGGAGAAAGAAAAAAATATCATGCAGCATATAATCGAGAAAAAAATATCATGCAAAAGAGAGCGCTCAACGTTCTTCACTTCAGTATTGTGTCCACAGGCTTGCAAAATTTTTGCATTTTTGAGCAGGCACATTCGCTTAGAAGAACATGGGGTGAACAGTGGACAACATCACAGGGATTCTACCGTGGCATTCTCTGGCAAAATTGTTGCCCCCCCCCCACCCCCGAGAAAATCTGGGCTTAAGATATGTACAAGTTTATAAGTTATTTATACATATCCAATATATGCATGGTTGAAGAAGTATTTTTGGATGGCGTTTTTGATAGCATAGCTCCAACTACATAGGCCCATCTACAGGATGCAAGTTAAACGTACTGCATATACGATGATTTTAATACGAAAATGCCAGGTTAGAGAGTATAGATTTTAAAACATTTCTGAAAATGATGCAACCCGATCCCCAACAAGCTATCTGTATGAACGATTGAAAAGCTACAGAGCTATATTTGCATGGTGGAACATTGTTGTTTGGGAGGGCAGTTAAAAATCGCATTATTGAAATATTGTTTTATTACGTATTAATCAAAATATTATTAATTTTCCCTTGCTTAAAATAAGGACAGTAAGTGTTCCTTAGGCTTAGTACAGCAAAGTTGTGGGACGAATCCATGGCTGAAAACACAGGAAATAGCATTTCCGAGGTTCAAATTTTAAAATTTTCTCGGGGGAGCATGCCCCCGAACCCCCCAAGGTTACAGGTAATTCATATACTGTACCTCCCCCATTTTCGAGTACTCTACTCTATCCCTGCATGTTTTAGGTTTTGCTACAGTTACACATTTTTTGTAAGTAAACCTGCACGCTTTAGTGTGGGGAACATTAAGACATAACCATATTAAATAAAGCACAGTGAAAATTCCTTGGCCCCTCTTGGAATTCGGTTCTCGGCCTCCTCTGACTGAAAACCCCGGCTACGTCTCTGACGATAGCTATATGAAAGGGCAAAAAAAATCCTGCCGTGAAATATATTGGGAAAAAAATATCTTGCGCTGCATTTTACAGGAAAATATATATGTCTTGTTAATTTCCCTGGGCGGAAAAAAATTCTTGCACAGTCTGAATATTCCAACCCCCCCCCCTAAAAAATCAAATGGTCCGCCCCTTAAACATACACATTTACTATAGGCTAATGACTCGGCAAAATTACCAAACAACAGTCGGCAAAAGATCACTCACACACCCCCACTCGAACAGGGTTAGCGCCGCCCCTGTTTGTACAAAAAGACCGAGATTTCTCTGTAAAGACCAAGCATGCAAGCGAGGTTAATAAAAAGTTTATTATATGGCATTTATACTTGAAACAAACAAGAAATTTATGATTTGAAATGTATATTGATAGCGTGGTACATATTTGATCGAATATAGCAATGTATTCCTTCCTTTCCACTTAAAACCATTCGCAGATATCTTATTAACAAACTAAATTATAATTTTCTATTAGTTTTGCTGTTTTGTTTTTAAATGCATGCGTTAGTTTTTACGTAATGGACCGCTGGTCCATTACGGGAAAATAATGGCCGCTGAAAGTGCTTCTCAGCCAATCGCAGTCCACCATTTCACCGGAAGTCATGCTTGCAAAATAATAACAGGTAATCGCACAGTTCCTCGTAAAATTAAGGTTTAATTTCACTTGTGTTTTCAAAGTTTCGCAATTTGTGCTCTGTCCTTGCATGGCTTGTGAATAAATGATAGACTTGTCATTAGCTCTATCGAGTATGGGGTCCAGACGTCGCCATAGATCGAGTGTTACGACAGACGAAAAACACCTTTTTAGAATATAGTAATACTCATTGTTGCTGTGTGAAGTTAGTGCAATTGGTTCGCTGAGGAAAAGACATGGTGTAAGAGAATTTAGGTTCAAAAGGCTCCAAATCGTTTATAATACTTATTTTATTAACATATATACAACAAATTCATGAGGAATATTTACGAAAACTATCATAATGGCGGCTGTTCAATTCATAACAACGTGTTTCTCGCAACGCGTGGCTTCTCGCGTGTTCTCGCGCGCGCTACACTTAGATTACGGTGAAAACATACAAAAATACGTCACACTCCCCCCGTTGACCTGTACTAAACATACAAGTTCTGGTCAACATTAAACTATAAACAAAATGTCAAGGTTAACTTAATTAACTTGTACATCATTAAAGTTATTAAATGTACTCATCTCTTATCCATTGCTTCCTGATCATATCTGCCATTACTGCAGCTCTTCTTCGCGGTGTAGTCTCCTGTTGATCCTGAACCAACTGTTCTATATTGGCTTGCGTCTCGGGTACATTCGCTGAGTTTGATTTGTATTCGTCTTGCGATCTTACTTCCAATGAATATAGTTTATTGATAGGTCTCTTCAACTGGTTTGCTTTCTTCCTTCTCCATTAACCTTTACAATTGCAGATCTAACTTTGTGGTCATCACCGTTAATCAGTTTCTCAACCTTTCCCAATTTCCACGATCCTCGACGCTGATTATCTTGATGTACTAAAACCATTTCTCCTACGCTTATTTCTTGAAACAACGAATTCTGGGAAGTGTTACGATGAGATTCTCGTAGCTCTAACAGATATTCCTTCGACCATCTGTTCCAAAATTTGTCAATCAACTTCTGTAAATAAACAACACGTTTAGTAAATTCTTCCGATTTAGGGTTCCAGTCAGGATCTACATGTATTAGCTCAGATGTATCGCCAGATGGCACACATAAAATTCGTCTTCCACAAAGTAGGTGTGATGGCGTTAAAGGTTCCTCGAGATCTTCGGTAGAAACATAAGTTAACGGTCTTGAATTTAAGACACACTCAATCTCTGTAAGTATAGTTAGTAGTTCATCATAGGTGACACATGCCTTCCCGAGTATTTTCTTCAGACACCGCTTTACTGACTTAACTAATCGTTCGAAGAATCCTCCTTGCCAAAGGGCCTTAGGAGTATTGAATGACCACTCAATCCGTTTGATCTCCATATGATGTCTAACTTCGGGAAGTTGAAATAAAGCCTTTAATCTTCGGGACGCAGTTACAAACGTCTTGGCGTTATCAGAAATCATTCTCTTGGGAAGTCCTCTCCTCGCACAGAATCGTCGAAAACACAATAGGAAAGATTCACTAGTCATGTCCGAAACGAGTTCCAAATGGAGAGCTCTCGTGACAGCGCATGTATAAAGGGCGATCCAGGTCTTTGTTTGTGTCTTGCTCTTCTTTGATTC